GTAAAACCAGGGATAATTGGCTGATGCACATCCATGAACAAAAACAGCTATTAGCCCATTCTGCATAGGGATTTTGAGAAATGAGCAATTAGCACCAAGATGATGATGGACTTGTTAGATGGATGGATGGATGGATGGATGGAGGATGATAGATAGATAGATAGATAGATAGATAGATAGATAGATAGATAGATAGATAGATAGATAGATAGATAGATGATAGATAGATAGATAAGATAGAGATAGAGATAGAGATAGAGATAGAGATAGAGATAGATAGATAGATAGATAGATAGATAGATAGATAGATAGATAGATAATAGATAAGATAGAGATAGAGATAGAGATAGATAGATTGATAGATTGATAGATTGATAGATAAGATATAGAGATAGATAGATAGATAGATAGATAGATAGATAGATAGATAAGATAAGATAAGATATAGAGATAGATAGATAGATAGATAGATAGATAGATAGATAGATAGATAGATGAGAGAGAGAGAGAGAGAGAGAGAGAGAGAGAGAGAGTGTTTTGGGACAACCATGACCTGGATGACTGAGAATCTCCACAGACAAAATCTCTGTAGCTTTTCATTTGATTTTCGTTTTCATCCGGGCATGGGAAAGAGTCGCCCAACATCGCTTCTATCTGCAGCTCTTTAAAACAGCTCCATCATTTCATAGGATTGGAAATAGACATGGCCACTTTAAAAAGCTGTGAAAGCTATGTTTACCCTGCTGTGTGTTCAAAAACCCCTTTTCCTATTCATTTATTTATTTTCCTCAAGCATCCCAACCTTGCTCATCCTGGCCTCACAGTAAGTTCGTTAGAGATTATGCAAATGCAACCTTCGAACACGGTGGGTTTTATACTTTTGGAATCACGTTGCAAAATACCAAACTTGGCTAGTTTGCCAGAAGCGACTTATCCTCTTTTGGCATTCTTGCCCGGATTTCCACCCCACCCCACCCCCCTTTCGAATTTGTGCATCTGTTAGATTCCCCCAAACTTTCCCACTGATCGGTCCATGGGGGCCTCTGACAGCTGGGGAAGGCGGGCTCTAACTCAGCATAGTGACAAATTCCTGACATTTACTTCTGCTTTACAACTTCTGAGAAAATGCCTGGAGATTTGCAAAGGGGAAGAGGCTGGTGTAGGGAAACGGGGAGGGAGAGAAACTTTGCTCTCTCATTAAGCCCAGCTTTCTTTTCTCTCTCTCTCTGCTTCCAATCTGCTAATTGCTCCAATCTTGGGATTCTTTGCAAAAACCCTTCCGACCACTTATTGCATGTTTCCCCCTCTCTGGGGCCTCTCCAACGCTTTTAATCACAGGTCCCAGCCTTCTTCTTTTTTTTCCAGATAAGGGGAGGGGGTCACGCTTGGGCTTTGAATGGCAGGCAGGGGGGGTCAACCTCTGAAAATCAAGGAGAGAGAGCCAGGACAATGCAGGAAAGGAGGTCAGGATGAAAAAATATATATTTTAATTTGCCCTCGCATGTGAATTTCCCCCGGATTTTCAAATCTGTAAAGATGGTTTGCTTTTTGCATTTTGCTTCTTCGACACCTTTGAGGGGAATTTCAAAGGATTCCTTGCTTGACTGTCAGGGCTCAAATTTGCATCCTGGCCTTAAATTATAGCCAAAGATTAAACAGGAGGTTCTTCTCCCTAACTTATTTATTATTATTATTTTTATTTATTTGTTTGTCGAGCATGTATGAGAAAACAAGGATAACAATGAACATAACATATAAACGTATAAGTATAAACAGGTATAAATAAGTATATACATAATAAAATGAAATGATAAAAATGAACAAACAATATTGCTTATCAATTTAGATTAGCTATGCATGTTATATAGCCACCATTTTTGGACAAGTTTATATAGAACTTTAAGATACATCCCCTGTGAAGACATCCCCTGATTTTCTTCCTTCTTTACATAATTCTCTTCTTATTTTTATTTTTTACAACTGTATTTATTATTCATTTTCTTGTTTTATTGATTGCATTCAATGAAAACCAGCAAACCTGTCCTTCCATCTTTTATATGCATAACCCCTGTTCTTTCCAGGCCTTCATCTTGATGCTTTCCTCTTCCCCTCCTGCTTTCCCCACTGCTTCCCCCCCTCCTTTTTCCTCTAATTCCTTCTTTATTTATGGCCGCTTTATAGTTTTGTCTGATTTTCTGCTTGCTATTAGAGTAATTGACTGCACCTGCCAGCTAGATCTGTCTAATTGGAGAAGTCGCCATGGTTAAGGGATCGGGGCTTGCTCAGGCCCCAGATTGTTTATGTTAGTGTAACCTTCTGTCTTGTGCTCTTGCGTAGTTCCCAGCGTGGAGACGGCCCTGCTATCAGTTGCAAAACTATAGGGTTGCGTGACTGTCATCATCCGACATGCCTAACTTGGTTTCTTGGTCCCTTGGTACTCAATTGCTTCGAAACTCATCTGATTTGGTGCTCAATGCATTTGGATTCAAACATTTTGCCCCAGTATTCCTTGTTGGTTTGGTACT